TTGGAGCTCCCTCGGGGGCTGAGGGGAGGCAGCACCTGGGGAAGGGGCGTTGGGAGAAGAAATGCCTTTCCCTCCCCTCGGATTAGTGCTGTGGTTTCCCTTTTGCCCTGGAGCAGATGTGACCCACTGGCCGGCTCAGCTGTGGAGCCCTGTGGCTGCAGCATAGCTGGGCCAGACCCTGCTCCCTGGGGAAGGTGCTGGCCTGCCTGCAATCAGGGTCAGGCCTGGCTGCTCTTCCCCAGGGTTAATATCCCCCACCTGCAGCACTATCTCTTCCATCCCCTGTGCTGGGCTTCAGCTTTGCTGCTGTGGGCTTGGGCGGGCACAGAGTGGGTGCTTACCCCGTGCTGCAGCCTCCAGGTGAGCTGGGTCAGGGGCTGCAAGATGGGAGGAAGAAGGCAGGAGGAGTCTGGGGGCACAGGGTGATGCAAACCTGCCACATGTGTTGGCTTCAGCCACCATCCCTGCGACAGCCAATATGAGCTTGGGGTGCAGCCGGCATCCACCAAGTATTCCTCGTCCATGGGCATTTCCACAGGGAAAAGTGGCATGTGGAGCATCTGAAAAGCAACAGCCTGTCCAATGGGATCACGAACCCCTGGGAACATCCCTTCCTCCTCCCAGCTTGATGTCCCCAGGCTCCCCAAGGGCAGATTACCCTCTGGCACCCACGGATGGGGTGACACGGGGCTGTTCTGGCACGGTGGGAGGCAGGTGAGGGTGTCCGGCTGGAAACGATGACTTCTGGGAAACGAGCTGATGTTATGCTAATGGCTAAAAATAGGCTTTTGCCATCTCCACTGGCTTTTAGCTTGAGAGGAAAAGCCAAGGAGTGTGTTAGGGGCAAGCGTCCCCATGCTCACCCCAGTGTGGTGGTCCTCCAGCTGTGCCAGTGCTGATGTGCCGAAGGGATTTAATTGGGATGGGTGGGAAAAGCACCCCAGAAATGAGCCAGGGGATGGGTCTCAGTAGCTGCAAAATGGGGCTCCCTGCAGTGTGAGTACCTCAGCTCGTGATGGATCTCCCAGCTGGGATGATGGCAGTGGAGATCCTGGACACATGGGAGCAGTCAATGGACCCAGTTTGGGGCTGGGGTTACTGGGAGTAGTGGGGACAGGCACTGGTGGGGTGGGAGAAACTAGTCCTGCTGGGGCTTTTGGGATGGAAACAGAACTGGGGAGGCAGAAGGGGACTCCCAGCCCGGGGCAGTGGAGGTGGCCCGCTGTCCCCATCCCCTCGCTGGAGGGCTAGGGATTCCCTTGGCTGGGGTTGGGGGCCACAGCTCCCCAGGGGCCCTGGGTTTGGCAGGGTGAGGGTTTGGCACTGGCTCCCAGGAAGCCTCCCTCCCAGGGCCATCGCCTCTTCCCCTATCACAGAAGGATCCCAGTGCCTTTCCTGGTACAGCCGCCCCACTGTTCCCAGGCCCAGGGGATGGCCGAGGGGGCACAAACCTTGCCTGGACCCCCAGCCTGGGCTGTGGCGTGATGCCGATGCTTTCCTTGGAAACCCTGATTTAAAAAAAAAAAAAAAAAAAAAAAAAAAAAAAAAAAAGAACGAACAAAAAAGGGAAAAAATACAACTAAAAATAGTTGCTGTTCCCCTGCCGGGGCTGGGATTAACTTGCAGGGTAGATTTAGTGCAAGAAATGCCCTCGGCCCCTCTGCCGAGCAAACTGGGCTTTGCTTTTATCTTCCCAACTACATTTCATGGGTGCAAAAAAGAGGATGAGGAGAGCAAAAAAATAACCCCAGGCGGGTGAAGGCCAAGCGTCCCCCAGCCACCGTGCTGGTGGCCGGCTGGGCCGGCTCGCTTGCCTTTTGGCAAGAGCAGGAGTCTGATGCAATCGGCTGCGCTGACGGAGGCCGCGGTTCCCCACCTGTATTTGCCATTGTGTGCCCGGAGCTGTTTGCAGGTGTTTGCTGGCGCCCCGGCTCCCCGCCAGCCGGCCGCCGCCTCGCTGGGACGGATGCAGTGCTCACACGCGTGGCCTTGGGCGAGCGTGCACAGCTGGGCGTGCTCACATGTGGGACTGGGTGCACGTGTGTGCGCTTGCAGCCCACGGTACATGCGCGCACTTAGCATGTGTGCGCACATGCACTTATGTGCACATGCATATACATATGCACACATGCCTATGTGCACTTATACACGTGCCTAGACACACACGTGCCTATGCACACTTACACACACCTATGCCTGCATTTATGCCCACACATGCATTTGCATGTGCTTGCATACACTTATACACATACACACCCTTACACACACATGCAGACATGCAGACATACATACCCCAATGAGGGTATGCACACGTGTACACACGCATGCTCTGGTAGACACATGTGCACACACACCCACAACAAGGCACCAGCTGCACATGTGCTCCTCCAAGACACATGTGTGCACACATATATATGCACTGATGCACATAGGCTGCAATGGGGGTGCAGCACACACGTGCACCCCCTCAACAGGGGCACACACATGCACGCGCATGCACAGATGCATGCACACCCTGACCCAGCTAACAAGGACATGCATCCACATGCGTGCACACGCACAGCACCCCAAATCCAAACATGCAGCCCCCCAGTACCTTGGCCCCTCATCCCAGGCGCCGTGGGTTTGCTCCAGCCCTGGAAGCTGCCCTCCCCAGGGGGGACCCTGCAGCCCTTCCAGCTCCTCCTAGCCCTAGTGATGGTGTTGAGGGGATGGGTGGGGATGAGTCAGGGCCGCCAGTGTATTTTAGGCTCTGCTGGGGGTGGCACCCAAATCGGCCCCACACAGCCCATTGGCCCTATCCTGCCTGGCACAGGGCGTTCCCAGTGCCCTCGACACCCTGCTCAAGCCTCACCCTGCTCCAGTTCCCATGCCAGTGCTGAGTGGGGAAAACTGAGGCACACTCAGGATTTCCAGTGTGGGGAAGGGGTGAACAAAACCCCAGCCTCCCCCACCACCCTCCCAGAGGCCCCCAAATTTCCTCTGGCACCCTCCACCCCAGAGGCTCCTAATTGCCAGGCCAGGAGGGCTCATCCTGCAAACCGAGCCATGGTGGAGCTCAGTACCCCCTTGGCTGGAGCTCCTGGGGGTGCTATGGGATTGGGGGGGGAGCTATTCCTGCCCCTCCCTTTAACAGGGAAGAAACAGGGTTGTCCCCCCTCCTTTTATAGGTAGGGGAAACAAACGCAGGGAAAGCAAAGCCCCTTCTCCACCCCCGTGGAGACCACCCAGCATCCTGGCAGCCACCCCATGTGCTCCTGCCAGCCCCTCACCTTCCCTTTCCCAAGGGTGACATCATGGCTCTGTCCTACAGAGGGACCAGGGTTCCCCATGTGCCTGAACGCAGCCCCAGAATTCACCAGGGCTGGGGCTGCAGGGAGGCAAAGGCTGGAGCAGAGGAAGGAAGGCTCATTACTGCTGGGTTTTAATTAATGAGGGGATTTGGAGCATGGAGCTTTGCGATGGGCTTGATCACCCAGAGGCACCTCAATCACTGACACTCATGGACACAGAGTGGTGGACCCACAGGCTCTCCTGGGGGTGGCCCTGGCCGTGGGTGAGGATGGGAGAGCAAACTGGGACAGAGGAGGGACACTGCTAGGATAACTGGGAAAGGCCTGTGGTGATACTGACCCAGCCTGGCTCTGGGAGTGCTGGCACATGTCCCGTGTCCCCTCACCTTTCCCTGGCTGCGCAGGGGCACTGAAGCCACCAGTGTCCCTCTGATTTCAAACTAGAGCCAGACCAGTTTGGGGGACTGAGTCCCCATTAACCCCTCTGTCTCCACAACGCTCCCCTGGTCTTTTTTGCCCTTCCATGCCCCCCTGCTGGGGAGAAGCAGTGATGTCACAGGGCATGGAAGCATGATGTCACACATTCTGCTGCTTGGAATGGTGAGGTCACACTGCAGTGGGTGCCAGGGGCTGCTGCCAGCACCTGCCATGGCTTCTCTGCACAGGAGGGTGAGGGGGCTCTGCTGTCACCCTGGGTTGGGGGGCGAGCTGGGTCTGAGGGCCTGTTTCACCATTTGTCCCCTCCCTGCCACCAGTGCCAGCGGGAGCCAGATGCGAAACCACAGTGGCTGCTCATCGAGTTCAGAGATGCAGTGTGCAGTGAGGTAGGGTGGGGTGGGCAATGGGTGATGGACTGCAGCCCACCGGGACAGCAGGGACACCCCACCTGGGCTCCCCACCCTGCCCCCCCCCAGGACCCCTGGGAGCACAAGGAATACATGGCCAAGGTGTGGATGGGCCACTTGCTCACCCACCCTGCTGTCAAGCTCAACTTGTCCATGCTTATGATCCTCAATGAGGTGTTGATCACCAGCCAGACCCCCATGACGCAGCCCTGGAGTGTGGGTGCCAGCTGTGCCCACCACTGCCTGCCACTGCTCCTTCCCTCTCCCTTGCCTTTTCCCCAGCCCTTTTGCTGCCTCTGGCATGGGTCCATGAAACCCCACAGCCCTGTCTGATGGCAGAAAGATGCCCCAATGTGGCTCCTTCCCTGTGAGCTTCGTGCATGGGGAGGGGGTCACCATGCTGACATCTGGGCAGTGAATTCATCCATACTAGCCACTGGAAAATCCACAAGGCTTTGTATTTTGCATCCAGCGTGGGTTCAATGGGAGAAGCTCAGCTGGTTTCCCAGTGGGCCATTGCCATGTGTCCCTTGGTCCTGCCCCAGGGCCCAGGGGTGTTCTCGCCACCTTCTCCTTCCTCCAGTTCCAGTTTTGGCTGAGCTATATCATAGAGTGTTGTGCTGGTGGCCCCAGTCACCAAGGTCCTGCTCAACTGGCTCAGAGGTTTCTGCCTGTACTGGGAGGTGGGAGCTGCAGTGAGCCAGGGTGAAGGCCCTCAGCATCTCTCTGTCCTTGTGTCCCTGTGTTCCTCCTTCCCTGAGTCCCTCATGCCTCCATCTCTGCATCCCATCTCCCTCCCTGCATCCCTCACTCCCTGCATCCTTCCGTCCCTAAGTCCCTCCATCACCCCATCCCTCTACCTCTGTGTCCCTGTATCCCTCTGTCCCTCCATCTCTGCATCCCTCCATCCCTCTCTCCCTCCATCTTTGAGTCCCTGAGTCCCCCATTCCTCTATCCTTGTGTCCCTCCATCACTCTGTCCCTGAGTCCCTCATCCATCCTCCATCCCTCTGTCCTTGCATCCCAGTGTCCCTCCATCCCTCCTTCCTTGTCTCCATCCGTCCCTGCATCTCTCCCTCCCACGGTCCCTCGTCGCCCCCGGCTGCGGCGGCCCAGGGACGCCGGGGAAGGCGCGGCTCGCTGCTGCCGTCTCCAGGGGAGAGGAGGAAGAGCCCGGCTCACCGCCGGCCCCGCTGCGCTGCTGGCAGCCGGGCTACGGGGCTGCCCCCCCGGGAAGCACCGGGACCTCCTCCAATGTCCCCCCGGGAAGTACCGGGACCTCCTCCGATGTCCCCACCCCAGGCACAAGGATGTTTGGCAACTGGGCTGTTGTGGCTGCTGGCCACCTGCTACCAGGACAGTCGTGCCCCCCCGATCAGAGCCATGGGGCACACGCACCCCTTGCAGCCCCCTCTTCCTTGTAGATGTTCCTGAGGGAGGAACATTGAAGGGCCCTCATTTATGGTCCACAAGGGCAGCCTTAGCTCTCTGCTCCTCTGCCTGCAGGATGGCTGGAACATCTTCAACTTCCTCCTCATGGTCTGTCTCATGATGGGGACCCCTGATCCACAAGCTGAATGTGCATAAGATTTTCCAGACCCTGAGGTGAGTGAGGGAAGGGGGTGCCATACCCCAAAGCCTCTGATGTCCCTGCGTTGATACGGCCAAGGTGTGGTGCCCCCATTCCATGTGCTGGATCTGCACTGGGAAAGGAAATGTCACCACCACTTGCTCTTCACCCTCACTTTTTTGCCCTGATTTGGGGAGCACCCCTGGCAGTGCAGACCCTCCTCAGACCCTGATGGGAAAGGCCAGGAGGGGACCAAGGCATCCTGGCACGGCCAGCACGGTGACAGGAGCTCTCACCTTGCCCCAGGCTGATGAGGCTGCTGCAGGTCTCCAGGCTGGTCAAGGGGCCGGCCAGGATGCTTCAGGCCATCCTCAAGGTCATCCCCGACCTCTGCAACATCACATTCATCCTCTTTATTTCCATGCTGGTAAGCGGCCAGGAAATGCCTGCCTGGGCTGGGAGCTTCGGCTTGGGGAAGTGTCTTGGCCAGTGGGGTCCAGCACTGGCCATGGCAGCTTGGGGACCCTGGGGACAGCAGGCACAGAGCCAGCAGCAGGGTGGTCCTTTCCCACCACGTTGGTCCATCCCACCTCCCCAGCAGGCTTGGGGATGCTGGAGGAGGGTTTTGAGCTCCCGGCACCGAGGCTGAGGAGCTTGGCTAGACCCTGCTCACTCCAGGGAGCTCCAGTGCTGGGGATCAGAGAATGCTGAGCACTCTTCCCAGCCTGGGGAAGGCGCTGGGTCCCCTATCACTGTCTCCATGCAGATTTTCTTGGTGCTGGGCATCATCTTGTTGGGCAAGTCTGTCCTGGCCCATTTTGGTGACCTGGGGAAGGCCCTGTATTCACTCTCTACCTGCATCACGCTGGATGGCTGGCTGGACATCTATGAGGCCTTCCAGTGAGCATGCAGCAGGGTGTGAGCCCGCCATGGGGTGGGGGCTTGGGGGTGGCTGGGGCTGAGCCGTGTTCCCCCACCCCAGGAAGGATGTGGGGCACATGGGGGGGGCTCATTTCCCATGGATGCTGAGAGGCTCCCCTGGGGCTTGGTACTAGGGAGGTGGCCACCACCAACCATCAACCAGACGGTCCCTGTCCCCAACAGTGAAGAAGGGCAGACCCTGAAGATGATGGCAGCCATTTACTTCATTATCTTCATCATGAGCGAGGCCTTCATCTGTGCCAACCTGCTGGTGGCCGTGATGACATCCAGGCTGTGGGAATCCCTGTTCACCCACACCAAGGAGGAGCAGAGGGAGCAGGAGCCCAGCCTGGAGGAGAGCCAGAATCAGGCACCCAGGGCAGGCTGGCTCTGTGGGTGAGGATGAGCAGAAAACATCTGTCAAACACATCCTGAAAGGACCACATTTTGATGATCCCCTGTAGAGATGGCCTGGGTGGAGAAGAGCTGCATCGTTCTTCCTCCCCAGCCAAAAGCCAGGAGAATTTTGATAAAATGGGTGTTTCTTACAAAAGACATCAAGGGGAGGAGGGGAGGAGGCTAGAAGTGGAGATTTTCTAGCAGTTTGAAGCTGGTTGTAGCAGAGATCTGCACTTTGCACCCACCATCAGTATTTAAAGGCCGGGATTTCCATCTCCGTAGTGCTGGACTCGTGGGTTTTGCTTGTTTGATGACGAGGGTTGGTCCTTGCGTGCGGGCAGTAGAGGAGAGGACATAGCCATATTGCTGTGTTAACCCTTTCAGCTGAATGGTGGGGTGGCCAACACAGACCCTCAGCTCAGCCCGAGGGTGATGGGGGACAGGGTCTCCATGAACATCTCCCAGGACCTGTTCACCTACAGCGAGTTGGGCAAAGTGAACAAGAGCATCTTGCATGAAGTCCAATGCCTCTTGGAAAGCAGCAAGCAGAACATCAGAGAGTACAAACAGATCTGTGAGGAGCTCAACGTGTAAGACCTGCTGCAAACCTCCTTCCTCTTTGCTGGCTTGGTTGTAGGGTGGATGAGGTGGAATCAGCCCATTTATACACAGCCAAGGCAAAACCTCTCCAGAGAGAGATGTCCCTTTTAGGTTGGGGGTGGAAGCTGGTGGCTGCCACGTATCTGGAGGCACTGGTGTCACAGGGAGATACCAGCCTGTGGCTTCTGGCATGGGAGAGGACTTCGCTGGTGGAAAGCCACGGCTGGAAAGCCTGGAGAAGGCTTATTGAGCAGGTATTAGGTACTGGGGGGGGAAGGATGCTCCTAACTCCTCCCTTGGCTATGCCTCCCAGCATAGGCAAGAAAGTGAGGGCCATTGAGTTCAATGTGGTGCAGGAGCATGAGCTGATTCAGCAGAAGCTTTTCTACACCACCTTCTTGGACAGCCCTTACCCTAGCGAGGTCACATTGACAATGTGTGGGGACATCATCTCCACTTTGTCCAAACTGGAAAGGGTAGGGGCACAACCTGCCAGCCTGAGCCCCCAGAACCTGGACCCTCCCCATACCCCAATGTCCCTGTCCCTGTCCCAAGGGTCACTCAGCTGAAGCCAGCCCAAGGCAGCCAAGTGACACCGCTTTATCCACTCTGCCAGGCATGGCATTGTCTTTGTGCACTGAAATGGAGACAGCAGTTGCCTTCTCCCCATAGGGGGGAAGATGAAGGTCTGGGTGGGTTGAGCTGCCAAGCTCAGCTATGGTCCTGGCAAAGGGACATGCTGCCCAGCGGCATGGTGGCTTGACTGCTGCCAGGCTTTTTGTTCTGCCTCAAAGCTCTTGCATGGTGGGAGGCAAATATCTGTCCTGGATCAGAGGGTCCTGCCAAATTTTTGGGTGTTCCTGCCCAAGCTGAGTTGGAGTCTGGAAGTCTGGTGTCCATCCTCATCCACAGCAGAGGCCATGGTGCTGGGGTGTGTGTCCGTCTGTCTATCTGTCTTCCAGGAGGCTTCTTTGCAAGAAAGTCCATCTGTGCACCTGAACATCCCCATCCCAGACCTGGACATGAAGTTGCCTTATGCTGGAGAGGAGAACAATGGAGAAGAGAATGAAGGAAAGGAAAGAACGGATGGAGGGCAACCAGGTGATGGAGAGGAACCAGGTGATGGAGAGGAACCAACCGCTGTGGCTCAGTGGCTTTAGCAGGATTAAACTGTGGCTCAGCTCAGTGCCTGTGGTGGCCTTTTACTGGTCCCAGTAAGTCTTGGAGTTGCCCTCACCCAGGGATTTGCCATTGCCTCAGTGCTTTCTGCCACTGCTGCACCCTGAAATACCCCATGGGACAAACGGGGAGCCCTTCACCCCCTCTTTCTCCCTCCCCTTTGCCAGGCACACCTGGTGCACCCCAAGGACATGTGGTGGGTGGCTGATGGCCAGGACTGGGGGCAGAGAGTGGCAGGTTGGGTGAAGTGGTGTGAGTGAACCAGGGGCCAAATCTGCTCACACGGAGTCCCTCTGAGGTCCCTGCCCCCAAACAGTGCCGACCTCTGCCCGCTCCCTGCCTGCGGGTGGGGTGGGGGGTTGCTGCCAGACAGCTTCTGGCTGGAGGACCCCAAAATGTTTTGTCTCCCAAATAGATGCAAACCCCCCTGCACACCGGGTCGCTGCAGCTGGGGATGGGGGGGTTGCAGCCCCCAGGCTGAAACCCACCAGACTGGGGGGGTCCTTTAATAAATAAATAATGAATTAAAAAATCAATCCCAGTCCCGATCCCAATCCCAGTGACCTCCCTCCCATCCCAGGCGCCCCCGCCCCAAGCAGGTGGTGCCAAAGAGGCCACTCCCTCTGCTTTGCATGCAGGACCCCCCCCCTCCCCGCTCGTGCGCCGCTGCGCGGTCCCTTTAAGGCCCCTCCCGGCCCCGCGCCGCTGGCTGACGCGGGGGGGGGGGGGGGGGGGCGGGGGGGCGCGCGGCGAGACGAGGGG